ATGTAGCAGACCTCTTGTGTTGTCTCCTCCCCTTCCTGGTCCTTGACTAAGGTTTGTTCTGAGACATAATTGACATGCTTAGCAGGGAATTGGGCTAGGATCAGTTTGTCCAACTTCGATTCAGTGCAAGCATGTCTTTTCTCATCTCGTCTGACTCGATCGAGTGGTGGGTCGAGCTCCAGGTTGTATCATACTCTTCTCCATAGCTTCCATTTGAGTTAGCTATGTTCTCCACAAGTTGCCAGCCATCATCTACATCCTGGTTGAGGAAGTTCCCATTGCTAGCTGTGTCTAGCATCTCCCTATACCTAGGCAAGCATCCTCTATAAAGAGTGGAGAGTAGTGATTCATTGTTGAATCCATGGTGTGGGCACTGACTTGTGTAGCCCTTTGAACCTCTCCCAAGCCTCTGCGAATGTCTCATTGTTTCGCTGGATGAAGCTGGATATCTCTCCTCTAAGCTTGGCTGTGCGACCGGTGGAGAAAAACTTAGCAAGAAAGGCCTTCTTGCATTCATCCCAAGTGGTGATTGTGCCATGGGGCAAGCTCTTCTCCCATTGGTGAGCTTTGTCAGCTAGAGACATAGGAAAGAGTCTCAGCTTGATGGCATCTTCAGAGACACCATTGATCTTTGTCAAATCACAAAGCCTATCAAACTCATCAAGGTGGTCAATGGGGTCTTCACTTGGCAATCCATGGAACATCTTGTTCTGGACAAGGTTGATCATTCCCAGCTTGATCTCAAAGTTGTGGTTCTGCACTGGTGGTGGAACAATCCCTTGTCTCTGTTGGTGGCGGTTTGGAGCATCTCCTTGACCAATCGGTCGAGTTTGCCTAGCTCGACCGAGTCCATTGCCCAAAGGGTTTCCATTCCCCTCTGGTACATCCATTGTATCAGCAACAAGCACCTCAGGTTCCTCTTGTACCCTCTGTGACCTCTGAACCCTCTTTCTACCCGTTGTAATCTAGCTCGACCAAGTCCTCAGTAGACCGACTCGATCGAGTTCGCATACACCTGCAAAAAGAGACAAAAACCCAGCAGTACAATAGAACAGGGGTGGTATAGCTTGATCGTCCAAGTGTTTTGAAACTCAAATGCAACAAAAATATTCCCAAATCGGCAACGGCGCCAAATTGATGATAGGATTTTGTGTGTGTGAAGATGAAATGAGATGTGGAATGCAACAGTGGTAATGAAGATGAAATGCAAACACAATCAATCAATTCCTCTTAACCATCATAGTCATGTAGTACAAGAGGTTATCAATCCAAAATGGGAAACTTGTCACTCTATGAGAATATGAAACAACCAGAAAGTCAAGCAAGCAGTAAAATTTGGTAACACTAACAACCTAAATGAAATAAATGCAATGCAAAAGTAAATAAAGCAGTAAGTAACAGCTCGACCAAGGACTCGAGTCGAGTGAACAGAGTACCAGCTCGATCGAGTTTAGGGTCGAGTTGAGAAAACAAGTAAAGGTGACGACTTTAACAAGATAAGAGAGAATTAGGGTTCAAGACAGGGTTTTGCAATCAAAGGAATCTACACTTAATCATCTAGCTCTTAAAACTCCTTGTATCAAGGCTTCTCTTGATATTGGGCTTCTCAATGCCTAGCCAACCCTTTCCCAAGGTGAGGCTATCAACCAAGGAATGATCTCAGAAACAGGGGGTTAGCCAGTGAGAATCAAACCTTGGAGGCCATAGGATCATTGCCCAAACTAATCCATCCAACCCCTTAGACCTCTATTTCTAGAGCAAGAGATATTGGAGCTCTTAGTGGATCTTTTCCAGCGAATGCCATCACTTCGTGTGGGGAATCGCCTAAGGACTTACAAGCCAGGGGTAGTGGTCATGTAGCCTTAAGATCTATCCAAAAGAGAGAGAATCTAGATTAAGACCATAAGCTAGAAGGATTAAGCATATGAAACCTCTAATCTATCCCATCTCAAACCCTAATGGGTAACTACTCACTACACATGAATGTAAACACAAGCAAATGCAATAAAAGAGACATCATAAGAAAGAGGAGATGAAATTAAACAACTTTTATTGAAATAAGCAAGTGCAAATACAAAGAGATTATCCAGGATCTAGGATTCAAGAAGCAAGAGCTTCAAGAACACAAAGATGGGATTAGAGCTCTCTAAAAAGTAAAAGACAATAAATTAAAAGAAACTAAAACAAAATAATCTAAAGCTTGGTGGTTTTTTCGTGGCTTAGAGCCTTTAAATACAAGAGGATTAGGTTTAGGGTCAAAGGAAAGTCAAGGGGGAAGCAACATTTTTCGGGTTTGACTGTTGACTTCTCAGCTCGATCGAGTTGAAGCTTGGCCGGTCGAGTTGAGGAACTCGACCGGTTGGTCGAGTAGACGGTCGAGCTGGTCTTCAAGATGGCTTCTCCCTTCTTCCTTTGCGTATCCAGTTGAGCTGCTTCCATGTGCCAAGTCCCTCCATGCTCCTCATGTCCCATATGCTCCAGAATGCTCCAAAAGACCTATTTCAAAGGACCAAACATGCATATGTATGCAAATGCAACCTAAAACTAACATGAATGCATAAGAAGAGAAAAGGAACAAGATATGATGCAAATGGAAGCTAAAACTATGCAAAAGATGCATAAAAGATGTGCTAAAACTATGTAAAATGCAAGTACATCAATGTCCCCTTGATAAAGAATTCACGCTTTAAATTTATGCAAGAGGTTAGCAATAGAGAGTTTGGATTGCTGGATGAGACTAGTTGGGTTGGTATTGTTCGCTAAACTTGCAGGGTGTATGTGAAGCTAACCTTATGTTGTCTATGTTCATAGTGGAATACAGGAAAGGAACCTTTCACAGGATATTCAAAAGAGCAAGGGAGCTTCCACGTTTTCAAACCTCTTTCACGGATTTAGATTCTTTTTGCTTGAGGACAAGCAAAGATCTAAGTCTGGGGGAGTTGATATACCTCTAATTTACCCACTTTTTATACTGTTTTAGCATTGTTTTCTAATGGTTTTTGGCAGGTTTTCTATCTAAAAAGGTAGTTTTACTGTGTTTATAGTGTCTAGAGTCTAAACAGGTGAAATGATGCATTTTGGAGCAAAACCATAGGATTTGCACTTCAAGCAGCTCCATGCACAAGCACCAACTTTAAGAGGGCCCAGAAAAAGATCTACTCAATGGATTTCATCAAGACCAGTTCCCTGCGTGCTCTGATTGAGTTAACTTTCCAACGCAACTGGAATGGCTCATTTGGATGAGTAGAAAAGGAGTTATACCAAAAGAGTGAGACTGTCCAGACGGCTCTATCGAGAGAACAGCGCCCAAACCGCGCAGTCCGGCTGGCCGAGGAAACATGTTCCGCGCTCGGCCAAATCTCCGTCCGACTGAAGTCTCGGCCAAAGTCCAAACCACTCGGCCGATCACGCATCACGACCCGGGAAACAGTCCCGCGGTCGGCCACGCCACAACCGCCACGCCACCGCGCACGACCAGCGCGCGAGCCGGGAAAAGCCTCGCGGCCGCGCAACCGCTTCGCGTACCGGCCGATGCATCCGTCCGAGCCGGGAAAGAACGTCCCGCGTCCGGCCGAGAGATTTCATCGGCCAAACTATCCGTCGACCACGCCGGCCGACCGTGAATCCGTCCGACCCCGACCGTTCCGACTCGGCCACGACCCGATGTCCGGCCGATCGTCCCGACCGACCGTCCCAACGCCGCGGTCGACCCGAAGCCCTTTTGAAGCCCAAACTTATGTTTTCAAGCCCGGCTTAACCCTAAGCCGCCTCTAAAAGACCTAGCACTATATATATGGATTTTTAGCCTCTTGTGAAAGAGAGCCGCCCTGTATTTCGATTTCCTACTCTAAGTTTTATTGCAATCATGTTTTCTTCATCTCTATGTGTGTTTGCTTTGATCATGTCTGAGTAATCCACTAGTTAGGTTGCTAGGGTTACTATTCAATGAGTTGCTTGCATGATCTTTGATTTCAATGATTAGCTAGGGATTATATTAGAGTCTTTGTCTCGTCTTGTGCACTTAACTAATGCTGATTGCTTTACCGCGCATCTAGTAATCCGATCTTAGGTTGATTTGAGCCTCGACAGTGCTGTATCATTCGCCGGACATATTCTTTGACAAGCTAGGTTTCTTAGACTGCGAAAGTTGATCTATCTATATCTAGTGAACTGTATCAGAACATACAGTAAAACCTCTATAAAACAATAATGTTGGGACTTTGAAATTTTATTATCTTATAGAGTTATTATTTTATCGATAAGACAATAATTATTATTTTATCGATAAAACAATAATTATTATTTTATAGAAATATTCTATCAAAAACAAGAAACTTTATAGAAATATATTTTCTTTAGATTTTTAATTCAAATTTTCCTTATACTTTGTTATTTACATATTTCATGCTCAGAAGTTCAAAGTCTATAAGAAATTATGTCTACTGTTCTTAATGGTGAAGATGAAATTGAAGATGATGAGGAAGTACATGTGCAAGTAGTTACACGTAAGGATGCAATTGTAGCTTCGAGAACTCTTCACAACTTTTGGCTGCATGTTGAGAATACATATCCAATTTTCAGAAAATACAAACTACATTGGAGTCATATTTTACTAAATTATCTTAGATATATATGCATTAGTTTTATAATTATTGTCTTAGCTTATTGTTGGGACTATATTTTTGCATAAGAGTTTCAAAAATATTATTGTCTTATCATCTTATCGCATTATGCTATTTTTTACACTGGCCCGAGTTGGGACCGGAGAAAAATATTATCTTATAGTGTTTATTGTTTTATCGAGTATTGTTTTATAGAGGTTCTACTGTATTCATTCTAATGCTTGATCTAATCACCTAGGGACATACCAAAAGTTTAGCGACTAGGTAGATTAGCAAAGGAGCCGGAGCCTCGAAACTGGAATATCCCAATATCCCTAATCAATTAATCTATCATTGTTTCATTGATCATTGTTTGCTTCTCTGCGATAGCCCCTATGACCTAGCGCTTTTCCTTTATTTTTTACAACCTCGTTATACTTGCTAGTTCGGTTCACCATTACAACCTCAATCATACTTTTGTTTTAGCTTGATCCAAAATCCATAGATTCAAAGTGTATTCAATTGCCAGTACTTGTGTTCGATACCCATACTTCCGCGATCTGTGCACTTGCAGAGGTCTAGGAGTTTGGTAAAACATATGATGGACCTCCGAGAACCAAGAGAGCATGAAATTCCTCATACAGAAGCATGTTGTAAGAAATAAAGTTTGTATAAGTGTAAGTCATAAAGGAAAAGCGACCCAAGTCATGGAAGGTACCACATGCATAGTGAATGAGGATTCATTCAAGCGTTGAAGAAAAAGGAAGTAACACATTGGGAATGTGGGAGCATGTAGTTAATCCTTAATGTCATAAAATGCGTTTGGTCATGGAAACATATTTTGGATTCCCAAAATAAAATCATTGTCTAACGTTTGGATATTGAGCAAGTAAGACCCCAAGACCGTGTTAAAGTTCAATATGAGGGCCAAGTTAGCCAACTGAGAAGGAATGTAAAGAAGAACTCCAAAATTGATGGAATTTTGTGAGTCAACCATACAAGATGATGAGTTGTAGCAAATTGCTAGTACATTGGGTATGTAGGAAGGCTTCGTTCTGATTTTATCAAAATTAGGGAAATTGGTATAGCATGGAGCAGGACTTTTGAAAGTGTGGTTTAGAGAAAAAGTGGGGGAGAAAGAGATCCACAAAACCATGGAAACAAGCTGAAGTTATTGTTATCAACCTGTTGATGATCTACTAAGGGACATGAGAAATATTTTTGGAAGTGTATGTGGCGAAGCAGTTATGAAGTATTTCAAAATATTGTTGTTGGGTTTGAATACTACACGTCATTAGTGATAAACGACAAGGAAGCGAGTCGGAGTTACTGTCATCAACTTGTAGAAGATCTGCTAAGGAAATGAGAAATGCTTTTGAAACTTTTTAAGGGAATAGGACTCTAGGCAGTGAAGTTATAAGAGAGGTTGTACGGGAGTATACCCAAGAATTTGGGGACATGTTATTTGAAAGGATAAATACATGTTATGTTGAATCAATGGGCTAGTGGATCAGCTATGAAGAGTTTGTAGATGTTGGAAGAGCCGAGATGAGAAATATTGATTAACGTGTCTAAACATAAAGCTGGTTACGTGAGTCAAGAGAGTGCTTGGGTTTTTGAACACTTTTGCATATGGGAAGATATGGAAATGTCAGAGCTCATACTAATCCCAGCTAAATTGGATAGCTAAGGAGAGTGAAACAAATTCACTATCGAAACTGGGAAAGACTTTGCTAGAGAAAGTGCGAGAACTTTACTAAGGACGGTGAAGGTGGATATACTAGAACGTGTAGAAATGGATCGATTTACCAAAGACTATGAGGAGATGCCACTCATATTGGACTTTTTCCTATAGTAAAGAAGATTTTCAGTGACACTAGAGAACGTAATTCGAAAGAAAAACGCATGAAAACTTGATAGGTCAAGAGAAAGGGGACCTCAGAGTATCAAGTGAAACATAAAGAAGCCATTTACCCATATTAGATAATGGGAGGTACGAGGTGATTCTTGAGTCATGTTGGAATTTGATGTCGGTAAGGAAGTGAGGAGAAGGACACACCAAAGTGAGGTTAACAAAAGCAAAATTGGAGGAGCGTTGAGAGATAGAGTCGGAGTTGGTTCGAGAGACAATAAAATAAGTAAAAGTGCTTTTGGTTATGCTGAAAAGGTGTCCATTGCAATCACCAAATAGAACATACTGACACAAAGAAGAATAGCTTAGAGTTTGATGTCTTAGGTGTGGTATACCTTGAAACAAGAAAGTTTTGGAACTGAAGAGAATTTAGAAAACCTACAAGACAATATCACTTGAATGAAAATTATCAAGTTGAGTGAGAGTCAGAACCAAAAGAATTAGAGGTCATCATGTAAAGACATGGAGATCGGAATAAAAATTAAGGACAAACCATTCAAAGATCTCTAAGGATGAGAGCGAGGTTCATACCATAGATTCGAGGACGAATCCCATTAAAGTGGGGGAGAATTGTCACGGCCCAATCCCGATTTTCCAAAAACCTAATTAAAAGCCCGTGACGTAAGGCCCACGTCCTAAAACCCTAACCTAAACCCCCTGCCTCCTCCTATTTATACACCACGTCAAGAGACAAAGAGATTCAAGAGAAATCTAAAGCGAAGCTCTGCCAAAATCTCTCCAGCCTTAGCAACCAAAGCAGTTCCGAGCCGTCAACTTACGGGACCATTTTCCGTCTATATAGAGGGAATCAGAGTGTGATATTGGTCTCTTTGGAAAGGTCTATCTCTCAGCTTTCTATATAATTCAGAATCGTGGAATTCAGAGGTATATCGAGAGAGTTATGATCTTTTCTTTGGAAGGTTTCACATCTGTAAAAAATAGAATTCTAATCCGAACAGTTTTCTTTGTGCTGTTTTGCGGGCTGGATTTCGGAACGATCCAGAAGGACCCAGAAGCCATACTTGGTGTCGTTGGAAAGAGGAGACTCTCATCTTTCCAGATCTGTCGAGATCGCGCGATCGGACATGTAACCAGTAAGTTATCGGCGGTTCTTTGTGGATCAGAATTTCTGTGTTTCTGGAAAATTTCAGAAAAACCCTAATCCGTTTTGGAAACGCAAACGCAGTTTTGGATCGCGAATCTGCCAAACGCAATTTCTCAGAACGCAAACGCAGATAGTCAGAAATCGCGTTTCAACCGCAACCGCTTTAACCGCTATTTTTCCCAACCGCTTCAACCGCTATTTTGCTGCGACTCCGAAGCGCAATAGCTATTTTTCCGGGGTTAATTTTCAAAGTGGCTAAGGTGAGGATATGTGACTTGTGGACTCGCATTGCGTAGTAATTCGCTTCCATATCCGTTATATGCTAGGTTAAGAGATGGATTGTTTGAGGTAGGCATGCATTGTGAATGTGAAAGTAGAATGATGATATATTAGTATGTTGAATAGTGTAAGATTGTTTGTGCGCGGGAGGGCATGGCGATCCCGTCGAAGCCGTTTGTTTTGGTGAAGTCGGACTGAGGACGAGGACATGGCGATCCCGTCGAAGCCCGTTAACGGCTGACGAGCCAGAAGGTGGTGGAAGACCTTTCGAGGTGCCCGACCAGCCTAGTTGTCATGTGAAAGTGTTATGAGTATTATGATATGTGATGTGATGAGTATGTGAAGTACGGTTAAGATGTTTATGTGAATAGATAGTAGGTTGATTGTTATTAGGCATGTTAGGTTGAGTGATGTTTGTGCCTTATCTTAATTTAGTATGTGCGTATATTGTTGTGAATTATTATTGTAATGTGTTTCATGTGGGCAGGGATGATCATTCCTCACTGAGTAATTCATTACTCACCCCTCTTTTTCGCCCTTTTTAGTGTGCAGGTGTGTTGCTTGTGTTTCAAGTTAGCGCGCGAGACCTAGGGCACAAGTTGATCGGGAAATGGGTATTACAATCTTGATGTACTCTTTGTCAAGAGCTCTCTTAATAATTTCCACCTATCTAAGGGTGAAGTAGTTGTTGACTCTTTTTCTGCCCGTAGGTTCAAAATCAGTCTCAAATAGTTTCTCTGGCAATCTCATCTCTTCCATCGTATTTGTGAAGAGTTCTAAAAAAATAAATAAGAGGACTTTGTAAATTTCGAGAATCATCATGTCTCGACATGGAAATAGTCTGTAAATCATAATTCCCTACTCTCATGTATTCATAAACCTCAAAAAAGACTGTGATAAAAAACATCCAAATCAACTGAGATATGTAAGCAAATACCCCAAAAAATAGACCAAACATAAATCATGGAAGAGAATACTTCAATTCTGACTTATATCACATACGAATTATCAATTCTCTATTCAACTTTTCAAAATTACAAACGATTATTTGACGGAGAACTAAGATCTCGAATAGAGAAGAGAAAGCATATATACTATAGGTGAAACAATATTTCTGAACAAAATCAAATAGAAATCAAACCTGTATAATCTCTGCTAAGCTTTTAAAGAGAAGCGCGTAGAAATCTCTGTAGTTATGAACTTGCAATTTCCGAAGACATGCGACAGAGAGTAGACGAAAATTTTATAAATTTCTCTGCAATTTTTTTTTATAAATTTCTCTGCAGAGGTCCTCAATGTGTTTGTATTTATACTTGTTAAAGAGGCAAAATTCAAATAATAATGTTTTATAATTAAAATTTGATTTTCCTTAATCTATATCTTATATATAATAGGAGAGTTGCTCTCTCCTCCTAGGCTATCCACATCAGCAAAAAAATCATTAATTGTATTTAAGATATTTAATATATGTGTATTAATATTTCTTTATATATATTCCTATTTTACACATAAACAAAACTAAGAAAAATACACAAACAATTTAATTGATTAATATAAAGTATGTGATATCTTGATGTTAAAAGTTAAAAGAAAGTTGTAATATAAAATGGAGATGAAATAAAGAAATATTTAACTTGAAATAGTATATAGTTAGGTTTTAACTCAAAGGATTTATCCTATTTAAAAATGTTATAATGTGCTTACAAGTAAAAAAGGTACAATAAATTATTTAACATAGTAAAAAGCTAATAAAAAATTAGAGTTAGAGTTTGTTTTATTAAAAAATAGAAGTCGAGTTATTATTTAAATTTCATTGCAACGAAAAGTATGAAAATTTTAAGAATGGTGACATGTTTGTTTCAAAAATACAATTTATATTTACAAAACTAACATAATAGAAAATAATCAATTGTCATATGCTACCACAACAAAGCATATATGTAAGAAGTTATACATGTTTTTGTTTTTCATCATATTTTGAGTGCAATTGCGATTCTACACCATGTTTACAAATTTTAACGTTGAGTCAAATGCATATTAAATTTTAGAAATAGAAAACTCGAGATGAAGTAAGGTGTTAATATTTAATAAAAAAAATTGATCATATTGTTAGTGTTAATTGTTGGGTTAACTCAAAATATAACCAAAACATGGAAGTTAACATATAACCATCATAATTCAAAATTTCAAATCAATGAATATAAATAAAATCAAACAGAAAAATTATCGCAAAGTTGGAATATAAAAGTATCAAAAAGTTGGAATATAAAACAGAGATGAAGTAAACAAATATTTAACTTTAAATAGTATATATATTTACCTTTTTATTCAAAGGATTTATCCTATTTAAAAATGTTATAATATGTTTACAAGTTAAAAAGTTGAATATAAATTAATTAAGATAATAGAAATTAATGAAAAATTAGAGTTATAGTTTGTTTTTCTAAACAAATAGAAATGGAGTGTTATATGTAAATTTAATTTAGTGAAGAAACAAGAATATGTTTACAAATTTTAACCTTCAGTCAAATCCATATACATATTTATAAATTTTAACCTTCAATCAAATACATATACATGTTTACAGTCTAATAGAAGTAAAAAAAAAAAGTAAACAAACATAATATTTATAACATGATAAAATTTTAGAAATAGAAAACTCGAGATAAAGCAGAGTGTTAATATCCTAATAAATTAAAATAAAAAATAAATTATTCATATTTTTTAGTCTTAGTGGATGAGTTAACTCAAAACATAAAAAAAACATGAAAGTTAACACAAAACCATCATAATTCAAATCAACGAGTATAAATAAAATTAAACAAACAAACTACCGCAAACGACCCCGCGCTTGCGCGGGGCTTCAAACCTAGTAAATAAAATATGGAAGTTCTTCAACTATTTTATGGTTGAATAACAAATTTGAAAAAAAAGTTATTAGAAGATTAATACAGTCGCATTTTTGTTATTTTATAAGATATCACGACAAGATTTAGAATAAAATAATTGAATGAACTTATATATATATATATATAAATTAAGTTATATATATGTGTATCTATATCAAGTTATCTATCTACACAATATTATTTTCTCTTATGTACCTCAGAAAAAAATGATTTCCAAATTTCTAATTAACGTACTCAAATTAATTTTTATTATAGACAGACGTTGCAAAATCTTCAACAAAACTGAACAGAGAAGACTTCATCTTCTTTTCATTTTTTTTGTATTAGATTCTAATTTATATAATTTTCCGTTACACTAATCCGTCTACATAATTGTGACAATTTTAAACTGATAGAAACATAGATTTCGGAGATCGTTTATGTCCTACATTACTATATTATTTTATATGAGAGAAGTTTTCAGAATTATAAAAGATTGTAACAAATGGCGTGTAAGATATTTTATTAGCTTGACTATGTATCATCAAATGTAGTATACATTCCAATACGCTATTTTTTTAAGTATCATCAAATGTATATTCCAATAATTATAATTTGATGATAATAACAATAAATCTACATTAGAAAGCATGTTTAGTACAAAAGGCAAATAACCAATTTACAGACTGCTTGCCAATCATTTACCCATCTAAAAATAAACCTTTGAAAACATAATTATCATAACTATTCTGATTCCGAGACTCGTAACTCACTCACTATTCTGATTCCATTTTCTTTCTTCAGCATCCAGGGCTCTTCATTATCTCCTTAAACTTCTCAATCACAGCAGTTGGATCCGCTCGTGAATTCGCCTAATGCATCACATACTCCAAACATCTCCACTTAGCTATAAGCTTGAAATGAGGTGTTTGAAACTCGATGCTGATAATCTCAAATATCCTTGTGTTTGGTGTTGCGAGTATTCTTGATTCTTCTTGACGAACTAGATCAATGTAGGAGACGATTCACCTCGTTTTTCATCCATCACATACCAAGGACAAAGAATACAAAGGAAAACAAGCTAGTACATAGTGCACGAGATCTCTTTCATGATGTGTATTACATAAACTTTGTTCCGCCAGCTTGGATCTCCGGACCATTCAAGGAACATAGCATGTCGACAAAAAAAAATAATAATAATCCACATATAGTATTTTATTGATTTTTTTTTTAATCCTTTAGAAAACTACTGATTAGTCAAAGAGTTTCCATACATTAATAAGAAACTAAAAAGCAGAGGGAAAAAATCTCTTTCTAATATAGATACAAATTTTCTTTGATTAATTGATACTATAATTCTGACATGGTGAAAATATGCACATATTAATAAATGTAGTCAACCCTATTTTTCCCATCATTCATTTAATTTCTTTTTTAGGAGTTTCTTATTGCTATGTTTAAAACACATGATGTACCACTATATAAACACAAACATTAGAACACATTCACTTAAAAATAAAATAAAAAAATAAAATAAAATAGCTATATCCTCCTTTTATAATCTCTAATTTATAAAAGAATAATAACTTAGTTTTGTTGTGATATTCATCATGGCTAAGTTATCATGTTCTTATTTCTTCATGCTCATGCTTGTTTTTTTTGGTAATTTCATCTTTTTCCATTTTTAAATATTAAATAATACTTAACTATACATTACAAAAATGATCAAAACATGCACATACTTATTATTTCAAATTTTATTTTATCTTATTTTCAGTGGTTTCAGAAGCTCAGGGAAAGCAGTGTACTAAGATTCTTCCTCCACTCAATGCATGTAATCCTTCTGATTGTATTGACAACTGCCGGGAATCATACAATGAAGGAGATGGAAAATGTGTTAATGGCACAATTGGCAGAGGTCCTCAATGTGTTTGTACTTATACTTGTTAAAGAGGCAAAATTCAAATAATAATGTTTTATAATTAAGAATTTATTTTCCTTAATCTATATGAATAAAATTTGGAAGTTCTTCAACCATTTTATGATTGAATAACAAATTTGAAAAAAGTCTCAGAAGATTACAGTCGCATTTTTCTTCTTTTATAAAATATCATGACAAGAGTTAGAATAAAATAATTTAATGAACGTCAGATAATAAATATATATAAATTAAGTGATATATATGTGTGTTTAGATCAAGTTATCTATCTACACAATAATATTTCATTTTCTGTACTTAAAGTTTTAGAGAGAAAAAATGATTTCTAAACTTCTAATTAATTTACTCAAATTAATTTTTATTATAGGCAAACATTGCCAAATTTTCAACACAACTGAACAGAGAAGACTTCATCTTCTTTTCGTATCGTTTTTTATTAGATTATAATTTATGTCAATTTCCATTACACTAATCCGTCTACATA